CTCCCACCCGGACCCTCCGTCCTCAGCCCCCTCCCTCTCCCCCGCCCGGACCCTCCATCCTCAGCCCCCTCCCATGCACCCCCTCTCTGGGAGTGTGGGGCAGTACCTGGGCCCTGCACCCCCATCTGCGGTCAGGTGTGGCCCTGCCAGCAAGTAGAACAGAAGGGTTATTTGTTGATCGAAACAGCGTAGCGCCGACTTGTTACAGGAACCAGGAGCAGCCAGAACAATCCACCTTGGGGATAAGGGGGTCCCCGCCTGCAGCCCCCTCCCATGCACCCCCTCTCTGGGAGTGTGGGGCAGTACCTGGGCCCTGCACCCCCATCTGCGGTCAGGTGTGGCCCTGCCAGCAAGTAGAACAGAAGGGTTATTTGTTGATCGAAACAGCGTAGCGCCGACTTGTTACAGGAACCAGGAGCAGCCAGAACAATCCACCTTGGGGATAAGGGGGTCCCCGCCTGGCCCCCCACGCCTAGCAACTGGTCCCAGCCCTCTCAGCAGCCCCACCCCTCCTGTGTGCAGATTCCCGGTCAAAGGTGCTATCTGCTGTCACCTAGCCCTCAGGACATGAGAGACCCACATACCTCCACAGTGAGTCATGCCTGGCCTCCTCATCCAGATAGTGTTGCAGTGCCCAGGGAAACTGAAGCACACAGACACTCTGTCTCTCTCGGACAGGACAGTAGAATCACCTACACACAAGAAAGCAAACAGCGAATCCAGCGACAGAGGGAATACAGTGACTACAAGAGTGAATACAGCCCCCGCTGCGTCACACCCTCCTGCCCATGTACCCCTCCTACCCAGCATCTTCCTGCCCAGATCCTCCATCCTAGGCCTCCTCCTGCGCCCATCGAATCAGAGAGCACTAGAACTGGAAGGGACGGTGAGAGGTCGAGTCCAGGCCTCCCTCCCTGCCCCGCAGGGTCTAGAGCAGTGTTTCTCAGCCTTGTTTTATAAAGTACCCCCTTTTGAAACCAGTGTAAGTGCCCCCAGTCCCTACAGGTTTCAGACACACCCTTTTTTCCTACCATTGTGACACATTTGTTTAAACAACTTAACCCTAGCTGGGGGGGGTGGCGTGTTTGGGTGTGAGAAGTACAAAACTTCAAACATAGATCCCCTTTTCTCCAAGTTTCAGTTGTGTTGATGTCCCCCCCACTTCTCTCGAGCACCCCTAAGGGCCCTCGTCCCACTGGCTGAGAGACACTGGCCTAGCCCGTCCCTGCCAGGCGCCTGTCCAACTGCTCTTCAGTATCTCCAGAGATTCCACAACCCTCCTGGGCAATGTATCCCAGTGTTTGACCACCCTGACAGGCAGGAAGTTTTTCCTGATAGCCAACCTAAACCTCCCTGGCTGCAGTTTAAGCCCCTTGCTGCTTGGCCTGTCCTCAGAGGCCAAGGAGAACAGTTTGTCTCCCTCCTCCTTGTGACACCCCTTTAGATACTTGAAAAACTGCTCTCATGTCCCCTCTCAGTCTTCTCCTTTCCAAACTACATAAGCCCCATTCCTTCAGCCTTGCCTCAGAACTCCTGTTCTCTAGAGCTTTCATCATTCTTGTTGCTCTTCTCTGGACCCTCTCCAATTTCTCCACATCTTTCTGAAATGAGGTGCCCAGAACTGGACACAAAACCCCAACGGAGGCCTAACCAGCGCAGAGCAGAGCAGAGCGGAAGAATGACTTCTCCTGTCTTGCTCACAACACGCCTGTTCATGCGCCCAGAACCATGTTTGCTTTCTTTGCAACAGCATCACATTGTTGACTCATATTTAGCGTGTGGTCCACTCTGACCCCTAGATCCCTTTCCTCAGGGCTCCTTCCTAGATAGTTGCTTCCCATTCTGTATGTGTGAGACTGATTGTTGCTTCCCAAGTGGAGCACTTTGCATTTGTCTTTATTAAACTTCATCCTGTTTATCTTAGACCATTTCTCCAGTTTGTCCAGATCATTTTGAATTATGTCCCTATCCTCCAAAGCAGTTGCAACCCCTCCCAGCTTGGTATCATCTGCAAACTTAATAAGCGTACTCTCTATGCCAATATCTAAATTGTTAATGAAGATATTGAAGACAGCCAGTCCCAAAACAGACCCCTGCGGAACCCCACTTGTTATATCTTTCCAGCAGGATTGAGAACCATTAATAACTACTCTATACACCCACCTTATAGTAGCCCCAGCTAAGTTGTATTTGCCCTATTTATTAATGATAAGGTCATGCGAGACCGTATCAAATGCCTTACTAAAGTCTAGGTATACCACATCCACCACTTCTCCCTTATCCACAAGACTCGTTATCCTATCAAAGAAAGCTATCAGATTGGTTTGACATGATTTGTTCTTTACAAATCCATGCTGGCTGTTCCCTATCACCTTATTTTCTTCCAGGTGTTTGCAGATGAATTCTTTAATTACTTGCTCCATTATATTTCCTGGCACAGAAGTTAAACTGACTGGTCTGTAGTTTCCTGGGTTGTTCTAATTTCCCTATTTATAAATGGGCACTAGATTTGCCCTTTTCCAGTCTTCTGGAATCTCTCCTGACTTCCATGATTTTCCACAGATGATAGCTAAATACCCAGATACCTCCTCTGTCAGCTCCTTGAGTATTCTAGGATGCATTTCATCAGGCCCAGTTGACTTGCAGGCATCGAACTTTTCTAGGTGATTTTTAACTTTTTTATTTTGTCTTCTAACCGTACCCCATTCCCACTAGTATTCACTGTGTTAGGCGTTCCTTCATCATCAGACTTCTCGGTGAAGACCGAACCAAAGACGCCATTGAGCATCTCTGTCATTTCCAAGTTTCCTGTTATTGTTCCTCCCTCCTACCCTGTCCTTGGTCTTCCTCCTGCTTCTAATGTATTTATAGAATGTCTTCTTGTTTCCCTTTGTGTCTCTAGCTAGATCGAGCTTGTTCTGTGCCTTTGCCTTTCTCATCTTGCCCCTGATACTTGTGGTGGTGTTTGCTTATATTCATCCTTTGTAATTTGCTCTAGTTTCTTCTTTTTATGTGACTCCTTTTTGATTTTTAGATCATGTAAGATCTGGTTAAGCCAAGGCGGTCTTTTGCCAGACTTTCTATCTTTCCTGCGCAGTGGAATAGTTTACTTTTGGGCCCTTAATAATGGGCCTTTTGAAAAACTGCCAACTCTGTTCTGTTGTTTTTCCTCTTAGTCTTGCTTCCCATGAGACCTTACCTACCAGTTCTCTGAGTTTGCTAAAATCGGCCTTCCTGAAATCCATTGTCTCTATTTTGCTGTTCTCCCTTCTACCCTTCCTTAGAATTGTGAACTCTATGATTTCATGATCACTTCCACCCAAGCTGCCTTCCGCTTTCAAATTCTCAACCAGCCCCTCCTTATTTGTTAAAATCAAATCTAGAACAGCTTCCCCCCGGTAGCTTTTGCAGCCTTCTGAAATAAGAAATTGTCTCCAGTGCAGCCCAAGAGCTTATTGGATAGTCTGTGCCTGGCCGTTTTAGTTTCCCAACATGTGTGTGGATAGTTGAAGTCCCCCATCACCACCAAATCCTGCACTTTGGGTGATTTTGTGAGTTGTTTAGAAAAAGCCTCATCCACCTCTTCCGCCTGGGTAGACCCCGAGCATGACACCACCCTTGGTTTTTACCCCTTTTAACCTAACCCAGAGACTCTCAACACCTCTGTCTCCTACGTCCATCTCCACCGCAGTCCATGTGCGTACATTTGCAGTATCAAAGGCAACTCCGCCCCCCTTTTTTCCCTGCCTGTCCTTCCTGAGCAGCCTGTGCCCTTCTCTACCAATATCCCACCAGGTCTCTGTGTGTGTTTATTAGCACTTCCAGTTCTTCCTGCTTCTTCCCCACACTCCTTGCATTTGGATGCAGGCATCTAAGATCCTGACTTGATCCTGCCTCCCAGTTCTGTCTAGTCCCTCCTTTCTCTCTGCTGTTACAGCCCACGCTCCCTCCCATTTCCCACCCATCTCCCAGGACCCGTGTTCTCCACGTACCTGTGGGCTTTGCTCACCTGTCCCCGTCAAATGTAATTCAAAGCCTCCTCACTAGGCTAGCCAGTCTGCATCCCAGTACGGCCTTCCTCTTCCCCGAGAGGTGAGCCCAGCCCTGCTTAGCAGCCCTTCCTGGAATAGCATCCCATGGTCGAGGAAGCCAAAGCCCCCCTGGCGACACCATCTCCGCAGCCAGGCTTGCACCTCCAGGATGCACCTGTCTGCATGGGCCCTGACCTTCGACAGGACTGAGGAGAACCCCCCCGTGCTCCAGACTCCTTCACCCGCACGCCCAGAGCCCTGGAGTCATGCTTGAGCCCTCAGTCTTGTCCGTGCGCACGTGGGGGAGCAGTCAGGGGGCCGGGTGTCCCTCGCCGTTGCCGCCGTAACGTCTCGGCCACCGGGCCCCCCGCGGGCGGCCCACCCCGGGAGGAGAGGCGA